GTGTGCGGTACAGTATCATAGTCTACCTAGTGTGATAGTGTACCTAGTGCGGTACAGTATCATAGTCTACCTAATGTGATAGTGTAGCTAGTGTAATACAGTATACCTTTTTGGGAGACATGAATGGCAGAAACTCACACTTTTCATCCACAGCAAGTTGCATCTAAATCAAACAACAATATAAATGATTCATGCAAAATCACAAAGATATATTTACCATTTGTAAGCAATCACTCTATATACCTCTTCTGGAACAGCTCTGATGTTAGTAAAACCTTTTCTAAAAGCTACAAAGACTCTTCTAGCTCCGCATCTTAAGGCAGAGGTACAGCAGTCAAAGGCAGTGTCACCTGCACCAAGAACTATGACACTACCATTTAACTGTGGAATCTTGTTCTTACAAGCACACATGCCTAATATCAAAATTAACATATTTATTAACAAATAAGTTTAATTTACAGCCTTTTGCAAAAATTATGAGAATTGTTGAAATATCTAAATATCATAATATCAAGTGCATGATGGGTAATCACACGCGAAGYYCTTTGTCCCCAACACGCGGATTTGTTAGAATAATTCATTGTTGACTCGAGGAAAGGTTCAGAACTATGGATAAGTCCGTCGCCAAAAAAAAATCTAAACTACAAAGACAAGGGACRAAGCGCATCGCCTGTGATTACCCATCATGCACTTGATATTATGATATTTAGATATTTCAACAATTCTCATAATTTTTGCAAAAGGCTGTACTWAAAATAATGAATACTGTAACTTACCTGGCTTGCTTCCCCCTGACACAATAGGGAGAAAATCCTTGGAAGTGTAGAAGCCATTGTCTGTAGTCAATCCTTCAAAAACATGATATTGTTTGGGCTGTGGAAGACCTGAGCAAAAGAAAGATTGATAAGATGTGAACAAGCTGAAGAAAATTCTCTGATTTTCATAATTAGTATTGATTACCTATTCCCAAAAAGATGGCTTTGTATCCATCATCCTTTAGTGACTTGACAGTTAGACCACCGGCAGCACTCAAAGGTTTACCAGTTTCAACCTATCAAAAAAAAATTACTAGTCTAGCAATCATCAGTCTAATTGATGGCATTACTTTACCAAATGTTTTCATTACCTTCACGCCCAGGTCTGTCATAAGCCGAACTTCAAAGTCAACTACTTCATAAGGAAGGCGATACTGAGGTATTTCTGATGAACTTTTGAAAAGAAAGTATTATCAACATTATAACAGATGTACATTTTGTCTCTGGCTTGGATATATAATCAAAACTTGTATTGGGTACCTAATAACTAAATACACAAACCTTAATCCACCAATATACTCCTCCTTCTCAAATATTGTTAAGTTCTTGTAGCCAAGGCGACCAAGAAAAGTTGCACAGCTGATGGATGCAGGGCCACATCCAAGAAGAGCAATCTGTTACAAGTGAAACAGTGAAGGATGTCTCATAAGTACTTTATTTTAAAGATTGAAATTAATTATGAGCTACAAATATACCTTTGAATCAAAACTTTCAGGTAGCTTATCAAGTGGTGGTAAGCTTGGATCTCTAATTTGAGGCAATTTCATGTCCTTGAACATCTGTAATTAAGACAAGTCAGATATTTGTATAAATGCATTACTACAATAACACATTGAATGTAGTTACCTCTGTGGCAAACTGCTGCAACCCCCCTATGTTAATAGGCCCTTCTTCAGATGCATAGAGATTACAWCCACCTACACAAAGGTCACTTGTAGGACAAACCATTCCACATGTTAGTCCTAATGGGTTGTCACTGAAAATGGCTTTGGCTGCTCCATAGTAGTTCTAGGTGCAAAATAAAATTCAAATGTCAATCTTTTCTGTAGTCATTATTAGCTTTGAGCTTTAACTTAATCATCAAATATTCMATTACAATTAAATCAATACATCATTTTACTGATGATGGACAACATAAAAAACAGTTGCTTGTTTGTGTACAAGGAAATTTCAGGTTTCAGTTGAGAAATGTCTAACCTTGTTAGCAATACAGGAAATGAAGTGTTTGATGTCAAGCTGAGTGGGACAGCTCTTCTGGCATGGAGCATCAGCACATTTCAAACACCTAAATTAAAAAACATAAAGAAATATCAAATTAATATAAATATTAACATTTCATAACAACGATAAGAAAAACTGCACCTGGATGCTTCTTTCAATGCTCCTCGTTCACTCAATGTAGTGTGCTTGATATCATCAAAGTCATTTTCCAAAGTATTACATGACTGCAATGAACATACAATCAATCAAGAAATCAATGCTAATCAATTAAATAATATGTCAATCAACTTTTATTCTATCTGATCATTTAATCATGCAGGTTTCCTAAAAAGATGCAGTATATTAGCTGCAGTCTTTGATCAAATACCTACTAGTTTATCACTGATCCAATTTCTAAGTTATTTGGATGCTTTAAGATGACTGAGTAAATGCTGTACAAYAATTAATCTGTTAGGAATTAACATACACTACAATTTCTTCCTTCATTGCGTTTCCAGTGTTTCTTGTTCTTCTTCGTTACAGCTGTTGGAACAAAGTTTGCTTTGCCTGGTATCCTTGGATTGAGGGCCAACAGGTTCTACATTAAAATGACAATAAATAGATCAATGAAAATACTAGGAATATAAAGTACTTAAGAACAATATGGACAGGGCTCAAAGTTATTTGCATGCATCACACTTTCCAAGAATATTGAACATTAAGTTTAAAAACTTCTTTACAATGGCAATAATATTTAATTCACTATTYATCTAAATATTAGAAACAAAAACCTTCCTCCAAATGAGTTTGTTGTTGTCTKTATGTCTTTACAACTGAACAAGGTTAAATGGATTGACTGTATGATGTACTGACAGGTACATGTATGAACTTTTCAATCAAGAGCATTAAGACCTTTTTTTAGTTGTCATTTTTTATTGTGATATTAAAAAACTCATACATAATTAATGAGCTACTAGGCCAATAGAATGAGCCTATTTGGTCACATGCATGGACCTTTATATCTGATAAAACACTCCTTATTASTATTCTTTATATAAAGAATAGTAATAAGGGTGACCTTTATCAGATATAAAAGTCCATGACCCTAGAAAAGGTCTCAGGTTTGAAACCTGATCATTGACCAATGCAGGATGTCAACCAATTTCAGTGAACAGTCAAGAGCGGTTCTATTTTACTTTATGCATATTCAATTTGGGATGACAAGAGTGCTTTGTAAAGTGATTCGCGCATGATCAGTTTGCCCCATTTATCTCTGAACATATTTGTACGGCAATTTCTTCAAGAATTTTAACGRATTTGAGTTTCAAATTAGTGTTGGAGTTTTTTTAAGCCGTTTAAAACACTCGAGATCGTGTTTTATCAGGTATGAAGCTGTAATTTTTACTATATTCATACTTCTTATTTTGTCACTAAAATTCTGGATAGCATTATCATAATMGTGGTCAGGTTTTCTTTGTATTTTGGGTTATATTTGTTTAAGCTTTTTTTGTACTGGATTACATAATCCGTACTTAACAAATGCATTTSTATGAGAATGTTTTTGCCATAATCCCTTTGATGGACATGTAAAATACTGAATTAATACAAAGACAGGTTGACTTTTAATATTGTGACCCATAATCTTGGCAAGATCACAAGTGTCAAATTTTGCTTGTTTACAGTCCCAAAATGTGTTTACATTAATAGCAAACACATTTTAGGACAAACAGTTCGTAATATCTTCTTCACCAAAATAAAATCCTTGAGCTTTATCCATATCATTAATTGAAAATCACTTACAATTGCACGTGTCACAATTATGAATGTACATAAATTACAAAGTTTGATAATTTCCACACATGAATGTACGCACTCAAAACAATAGMCAAAAGATGCTTCTAATTTRCTATGTTCCTCACATAGAATTGCTATTAATATTAAAGCTAAGGAAAGCTTTTATGAAGTTAGAATCAGATATTAAATAAAATATTAACAAATGCGATTACTTTTGAAATTATGCCAGATTTTAATGTTTTAACCAATGAGATGGCTGGATTATAYAATACAAAATTAGCACCTTCATGCATTCCATTGCCGTTTGCTTGCCTGCTTCTTACTCGGACCATTACTTAAAACGTAACTGCATAAAACACTTTTCGTTTAATTTAATTTATTCATCCTGAGCCACGTACAAATACAAACAGTTTTACGGCTTCTTATAAACCACAGAAAACTAGCAATGCGTTGCATATAAAACCATTACTTAATATATTTCAATAATCAGAATAATTGATTAATTAAGAATTATATTGATTGATTGATTATAAAGWTTACATGGTTTTAACATTTGCACAAAAGTAGGATAGAGCAAAACTATTGGGCTCTTTTGGATTAGAACATCGCAACCATGTTCATCTTTTAATCAATTCTATAAAGCAAGATACTTATATAACTTGGAAATAGCATCATAATTGCYATAACTTCAGGAAATGCAATCGCAGTTTCTCAGCAACACGAGGTCAACACGCAGCGTAAAATTATGCAAAAATAAAGCAAAAATAGCAATTAATGCTATCAAACTAAAACGGCGTAAAAGCATGGCAACTTTTGACATACCTCAATCTCTACGGGATGGGTAGACAAAGCCATACTAGACTTGTGTCCGTGAAAATGAGCAAAACTCGATATTATTCCCTTGCGCAAGAACTTGCTTGCTTTACTTGCCTTTTGTCACGTGGCAAAAATGGGTGCGTGTATGTTCCTATGGACAGCTTTTTGCGCATGTACAACTGACGTCACGACGCGGGAAATAAGGGGCGCGAAAAATCTTTCAATCACATTTGGAAGACTCGATCGATTCAATCATGGCGACTGAAGGCGAAAATGCTACTGCATCAAGCTCGAATTTCGAGTCAGTAGAAGATCTAGATATCTCTAAATTCAAGTCTGAATCTATTATTAATGTATCTTTTATGTTTTCTTGTCTTTCCAGAGAAGAAATTAAGAAACTTATGGGAAAAGGAAAAGTTCATATGGTTTGCAGCGAGTTTGTGGAGGCTGTCAAATGTTTCGAAGAAGCGACAAAAAAACTGTGAGTATCTCCTTATATCGGTTTTAAAGGAACTCTAACAGTTTTCTTATCTTTTATTTAATAAAAATCTTTATCAGCACAACGATGATGTGCATAAATATGTCGAAATAACGGTGGTTGAAGTCTCGTGTTCACGATTGTCAAGATGTCAATGTGGTACATTTCACGTCAGCCATTTACAAGATATT